CATCAAAACGAATGTATAAAAATAAATGTTGTTGATGTGCCCACGTTTTTTTTTTTCTTTTTTTTCACCTTCATGACGATGACTGACGCAATACCTCCATGCTTTACCTTGTTTTTTGCTTATTTAGTTTTTTTTATGTCAGCATGTCTCCTTTCTTTTGAGACTTTAGTTGTTAATGTACAGAAGAACTTATTGTTATTTAGTTGTTCGAAGAAGTAAAAGACGAATTATATTAATGGTTGATTGTTTCTCTTTTTTTCTTGTTTTTGTTTGCTTTCCTTTTTTTTTTCTCTTGTCATCATTCTTACTATCAGCTGTTAACACATTGTTGAGTCATTTCAATTCCATTGAGAACGAAAGAACACAAAACATAATTTATGAATCATAATGATTTTTCTATAGTCTTGTTATTAATGCTGATTTACTCATTTATATCATTCATTATCTTTAATTTTGGATATGTTCATATGATAAATAACATATATATATATTATCTTTTATCTATAACACATCTTGCTCAAAGAAATTCTGTTATCATCCAAATGCAGTGATACATAAATGACTGTTATAAAATAAATTAACTAATATTGCAAGTCTGATAATAAATCAAATTATAAATATATTAATATAATTATTTCAAGTCTAAGAGTTTTGTTTCTATGTTTTTTTCTGTGTTTAATGATCTCTTGCTCATTCTGTGTCTAGGATTTATATGCCTATTGATCTACAAAAACATGGATCGTAAACAAGAATTGTTCGTCTGTCTGCCCGTTGGTATAATCCTAAATATAAGAGATCTGATCTTTACATAGTGTCAGAGAATGGACAATGGATGTAGTGAAGAACGTAGGAGAGCAAAATTGACCTCTGTACAACCTTTCGACCACCAGTATAAGTATATGCATGCATACCCACTCACGACAGAAAGGGAGAGAGAGACACACACACACACATACACACACAGACAGACAAGCAGAAAGAAGATATGAAGAAAGTATATACACACGTACATACAGGCGCATGCACAGCAGGAGAGCTGCAGAGAACAGACAGTATAGAATGCATAGATGAACGAGCGGACGAACAAATGGCTCGGCCACGAACTTTCTCTTTTTTCTGGCCGTGTATGTTTTACATACATTGATACTCTGATAGCATGAGAGAGTACGAGACGAAGAGAGAGAGAGAGCCGTTAAAGAGAAAGTGATCGACGCAGAATCCCTTAACGGCAGCACTCTGCACATTACTAAAACACAAATTCTCTCTCTTCGCTTTTTCTTACTCCATGCTCGACGATGGCGTCCAGAAGATTCTGTTCGTCGTCGACGATGGCGTTGAGAGTTCTCCTTTTCTCCTCTTCATCACCACCCTCAACACCAAGTCTCGCATAAACACAGGCATACACATTTACATACACAACAATCATAGAGGTATAGAAGAACACGAAAGAGATCCTGCGTGCTTCGGATTTTTCGACACTTTAGCAGGCGTTATATTGCGAAGAAACCGAGAGATGAACTTTACATGTAGGATGCGTGCGTGCATGCGCTTATGTTACATGATCTGGAAAGAAGAGAGAGAGAGGGGGAGAGAAGGACGAGATATAAAGTAGGTTTTCGGGATGACAACGATAGTAAAAAGAGCGCAAAAAAAAAAGAAAACGATTTTAGGGGTGTCCTTCTTTTTTTTTTCTTTTATCTATAACGCACGTACCGGGTTTGGCAAGTAAGACGTAGAAAGCCAGAAGAAAGAGAACGACAAGGACAGAAATAGGGCGTTGGCTCACAAGCTTTCGTTCGAGACGTATATACGCGTGAAGGTTCTTCATTTTTTTTTGACGCGTCATCGTTCCTCATGTGGTTGTTAGATAGTATCAATGGGTAAAACCCTCGCTGTTTGAATTATATTTATATATATATATATTAAAATATAAATATATAGGTACGCTAATCCTTAGATCGAGTGTTAATCAGTATAACTATTGTAAATTCCTCTATATTTTATTTAAAAACATCTAATCTTTTATGTAATTAAAATGTTTTTGTTTCGGATATAAAAACAATTTTTTATTATTTCATAATTTATCAGTACGTAAATATATTTAATTTATCTATAATACGAATTGACTGGATGGGTAGAATAGAGCGAATAAGAAAAAAAAACGTATCTATACTGTCGTTCTTTATGACTGCCTTTGCGTAGTACAGAATAGTAAGAAAAAAAACACGACAGAATTGTTTGAATGTACTTTTGAGAAACAGGGTGTATGAATAACGAAAGAAAAGTTTTCTGCGACTGTATTATGTTCTATTCTTGTACACATCAATGACAAGCATGCCTTTTCTTTTCTTTTCTTTCGAATATTATTCAATGAAAGGTAGTCTTATAAAAGTACATATATATTTATATATATATGTATACGTATATATAGATGTATATGGACGATGTCCATTTTTTTCATATCCTTCATCATATTCTTGCCCTTTTCTTCATTCTGAAATTCTTCTTCTTTTTTTTTCTTCTCAAACAGCCATAAATAGGGCAGATGTTGTTGGCGTCGACAGAGAGATTTGAGTCAGTGACGAGCGGGCGGACGAAAGGAAAAAGAGGAGAAAAGTCGTCGCTCGCCATCATCACTCATAGGTAGTAGTCCGCCAGGAAGAAAGATTGTATGTACAAACATACATGCATACACGTATATGCATAGCATATGCACAAAAACACATAAATCGTCCGTTCAGTAGCCGTCCAGCAACGTTTTCTCCGTTTTTCTCTCTCTTATACGTCTTCCTTCCTTCCTTTCCTTCAAAATTCAGACGGACACACATAAACCTCTTTTCTCTGTACATAGATCCATTGACACCAGAACGTCGAATCGTGTATTTTGTAGGCAACATTCGCCTATTTCTCTCTTTCTTATTCTTCTTCTCTCTTTTCCTTCTCATCGAACGACGACGAAGAACCGGCAAACTCCATATATTAGTTCACATTCTTATGGTGAACTGCTACTGACCGCATACACATAAGTATAAACATAAGTACACACAATGGACTCGGTAGTAGTGTCTACGGTAAAATATTTGGTTTTTATAATATTTTTTATCTATAAAAATCGTTCTTTAGAAATCACATGTATTACAATGGGATGCCGATGCTGTTGTTGCTTGGCTTCATGAATCAAATTTTGGTGCATTTGAAAAAGTTTTTCGAGGTAAACAAACACAACACACAAAATATTTATGTTATTTTTATTATTTCCCGAAAAGAACAAAAAAAAAGGGCGTTTTCTCATTACTTATCATACATTGATTATGATCAGAACAAAACATTTACCTTTATCATACTCATACATCATCAATAACATTTTTTTATTTTTATTTTTTATTTGTTTAGATAATGAAATCGATGGTCCAACCCTTCTTAAACTTAGTGAATCAATGGTTGTTCGTCTTTTTCCAACTATAAAACTTGAAGTACAATTTCTTGATTTATTACAATCACTTAAACAACGAAATATTAGTGATAATAATTCAAAAAAAACATTAGCTTCATCATCTAATATAACAAATGGTCATAATGGAAATCGACATTCAGCAGCACATCAAATTGCTGCTCATGTTATTGCATCAACATCATTTGATAATGGTATAGATCATTCATCGAATTCTAATTCACCAATACCATCAGCTACAAATGGTCATCATCATCCTCGTGTATCTTATTCAGAACGTTCACAAATTCCACAACGTCTTACACCAAAAGGAGGTC